TATATATGCATATGTATGTATGTATATATGATCTACATGAGGAAAACTACAAAATGTTAAAAAAAGAAATCCAAAAATCTCCAAATAAATAGATAGTCCCTTTTTTTTGATAGAAAGACTCAATATTGTCAAAATGTTAGTTATTCCCAACTTTGGTTTTAGATTCAACACAATCACAATCAAAATCTCAGCACGTTACTTTGTGGAGGTTGACAAACTGATTGTCAAGTTTCCGTGGGAAAGCTAAAAACCTGTGTTGGCAGCGGAGTATGGAAGAAGAACAAAGTCTGAGTGCTGACCTTACTCAACTTCAAGGTTCACTATAAAGTTAGAGCAATTAGCTATCCCAGAAATAGACCCACACAAATGCAGTTGCCTGATCTGTGACAAAGGAGTAAAGGCAATCCAGTGGAGAAAGGATCACATTTTCACCAAAATGGTGCACAAACAAATGGACATGCACAAGCAAAACAATCACTCTGGGCACTTAACTTAAACCTGTCACTAAAATTAATTCAATGTGAATCAATGACCTAAATATGAAAATATAAAAGTTCTAGAAGATAACATAAGAGTAAATCTAGGTGACCTTGGATTTGGCAATGCCTTTTTAGATACATCAAAGGCATGATCCATGAAAGAAAATGTTGATAAGTTTGAATTCATTAAAGCAAACTTCTTCTCTGCAAAAGACACTGTTGCGATATTGAAAAGTCAATCCACAGACTCGGAAAAAAAATGTTGCAGACCCATTTCTGATAAAAGACTTGTATCCAAAATACACGAAGAACTCTTAAAACTCAACAATGAGAAATGAACAACCCAGTTAAAATGTGGGCAAAATATCTGAACCTCACCAAAGAAAACAGATAAATGACAACTATAGGAAAAGATACTCAACATTATATGCCATAGGTGAAATTGCAAATTAAAACAATGGAATAAATAAAATACAAAACACTGACAACACCAAATGCTGGCAAGATTGTGGAGTAATAGGCAGTTTCATTTGCTGCTAATTGGAATGCAAAATGGCACAACTACTTTGGGAAGGCAGTTTGGCAGATTCTTATAAAGCTAAGCACAGTCTTTCCACATAGTTCAGCAATTGTGCTCCTAGGTATTTACGCAAATGAGTTGAAAACTTATGTTCCTGCACATAAAAAAAATTTGCACATGGATGTTTACAGCAACGTTATTCATAATTGCCGAAACTTGGAGGCAACCAAGATGCCCTTCAGTAGGTGGGTGGATAAATAAACTGTGGTTCATGATTACAATGGAATATTATTCAGCAATAAAAAGAAAAGAACTATCAAGCCATGACAAGACACAGAGGAACCTTAAGTGCATATTGCTCAGTGAAAGAAGCCGGTATGAAAATGCTACATATTGTATTATTCCAACTTTATGACATTCTGAAAAGAACTGTCAAGACAGAAAAAAGATAAGTGGTTGCCAGGGTTTGTGGGGAGGTGGGGAGGGGTGAGTAGGATGAGTTCACAGGATTTTTAGGGCCGTGGAAACTATTCTATATGATACTGCAATGATGCATACATGGCATTATGCATTTGTCAAAACCCATAAAACTGTACAATACAAAGAGTGAATTCTAATGTAAATAATGAACTTTAGTTAATAATAATGTATTAATATTGTTCATCAATTGTAACCAATTTTACCACACCAATCCAAGTTGTTAATAATAGAGAAAACTGGGTGGAGAGAGGAAGAGTATGGAAACTCTGTGTACTTTCTGTTCAGTTTTTTGTAAACTTAAAACTGACCTAAAAACTAAAGCCTATTCATTTTTTTTTAAATTATCTTCTCTCTTTTATATGTGGTTCCTTCAACTTTCTACATAAGCGTCACAGAATGAGAAATGGGGGACTTGCAAGCGCAAGGTTAGAGTGTTAGAACGGGTTCTCATTAACTCAGGGCCAGCTGAGTCATGTGGACCTTAGTTTTATCATCTGCAAAATGAAGGTATTATTTTCTTTAAATAACTGCTGTGTGCATTTCCTTATTAAAAGAGAATGTAGTAACATACTGACACATGCTACAGCATGAATTAACCTTGAAAATATTATGCTAAGTGAAAGAAGCCAGATGCAAAAAGCCACATGATTATACATTACTCATGGAATATAAAAATGAATCATATGGCTTCTTTTATATGGAATATCTAAAATAGGGAACATCATAGAGACAGAATGAAGACTAACAGTGTC